CAGCCAACGCCTAAGTTAACTAAGATACCGAGGCCCTACCGAGAGCCGTGAATCTAATCACCCTTGGGTCGATTTACCCGCCCAGCCTACCGCAAGATACGGTATCAACCAATACTTGTACAGTAAGCTGACTGCCAAGGCAGGATTTTCTAAGCAATCAATCTAGAATTCACCAGATGACTACTAGGCACACTTCGATTACTTTCACGGCTCTTGATGGGGCCTCGATAGCTCACTTGGCTAAAGCGGTGGCTGTATTAAAGTTCTCCTTTGTTGGTGTGGGTTCAAATCCCAATTGCGTCAGTCGTATTATTGAAACCGGCCAAACCCCTCCTAGTAATGATTTCTGACTTACCTTCGAAGTAAGATAGCCGTGCGCCAAATTTTGCCAGTCTCTGTAGGATATAGCGGATCCTTCCGTGAGACATAAGTTGACTTTTTGGTGCTATCTATGTGACAATGATTGCGTTACACTTTCTGTCGCTTTGGGACAACGTTTTGATAAGAAGGTTGATTGCAGGTTTTACTCAAAAGTCTGGAAAACCTAATTCACCCGAGCAAAAATTCCTTTTATTAGAATGTGCGCAAAAAAGGTTTTATTGTGCGTCACAACGACTCTGTGGTGGAGGGGGACGACGACTTCGAAATCTCCCATGAGAGTCACTATTGCGGGAACGTGGAATACTGTAGTAGCGATCAACGGTATGACTGCGCGAATGATCCGCTAGTTAAAATAGACATCAGGAATTGTAACGGCCCCATTCATCCGCGTGTCTAGCGGCCAACCCTATTCACCAACCGTGCCGCTCGATTTATTTTGAACAGAAACGAAGAAGGCCTTCAAATTACTGCCATTAAGTAATACTCTTACAGCGACGTTTTTCAAACATTGTTTGTCGTTTTGCAAATTGCACCGACATGAATGGTGCGATAGTAGTAGATTAAGAAGGAGCATATTAGTGAGCAGATGTGTAGTAGGTTCCAAAGGTCAATCTTCTGCCCTGTAAGGTTAAAAGGACTGGCACGCAGGTTAATGATGAGACTGTGAAGCAGCAGCAGAAACGAATGACCTAAGGTTGGACTGTGAGGCTGCTCTTTGTATGCAAAAAACATCAGACAACAGGAATGACCCCGCCAACCGCGGAAAGAAACGAGCCCGGGGGAGGAGGAGGGGGGGGTTGAGACAAGAACAAAACAGCCAAGTAAGAGGTGAGAAGCCCACAGGAACCGCAATGTTAGAAGGAGCGCAGCAGTACACTAGGGAGGGTTAGGCGATCGAAGAAGCACGCACGTTGGCACAGAAGAGCCAAGAGCCTACGGCATACCTACTAGGAAGGATTCGGAGGACGTAGCACCCCCTTTGGCTCTGTCCGAAGCGCCGCAGGCGAGAAATAATCTGCCACACGATGTAAGCGTAATGGAGCGTCTTACGCAAGTGTCTGTTTGGGGCAACAAAATCACGCAATCACTCTTTTCACTGCAAAAAAGGGAAAGGTTGTTACGACTGGCAACAAGGCGCGTTTTTCAGGGGCGTGTAAGCGCGAGGCAGCTAAAAAGTGAGGGAGGGGGAGCAGATGGGGCTTAACAAAACAGTTACGCCCTGGTACAGACGAAAGGAAGTAGAGCAGACAAGGAGGAGAATGTAAGCGAGGAAATAAGAGGGAGTTAAATAAAGTCGGTTGCTTACATGACTTGTCTGGGGAGGGCAAGAGAAAAGATGTAGCTATAAGGGGTGTATGCTACATTCAGGAGAGCCAAGTGGTGTTGTCGGCACCCGGTGGCGCAGAATTATTCAAAAGCGCATGCCTACTTTCCTTAATAAACTGATTTGAATTGAACTCACCTGATGCC